CTTCACCCCGCTCCATCCATGAGGATGTTCCATGAGCCAGGTGCTGGGAGCTCTCTCCTGCCCATGGATGAGGGGGTGATGGCCTCTGTGGATTTGTGGGATCCCACTGCCCACTCCTCCCCCTGGAAACGCAGAGAAATGACCCTCAGAGGTGAGGAGCTGCTGGCCTGGGCTCATCAATCTCCATTTGCATCCAAAGAAGAAGGGAAAAAAAAAAAAAAAGAGATTTAGGAGCAAGATCAATATTGAAAGAGCCTGGGTTTTTTTTTTTTTTTTGCTTTTCCCTGTGCTCCTCTGGGGGTGGGAAACTCAAAGCAGGTACTGGGAGTAAATCCTCCTGGCTACCTGGGTGTAAATCAGAAGGAGATGATGGATTTATGGAAGTCCAGCCTGATTTACACTCCCAGTCTGGTCCCTGCAGGTCGGCGCGTGGCCCTGGGGAGGCGAAGTGCTGGAAGGGGATGGAGCCACCACCACCTCCTGCTGGGGCAGCTGTGGGGTGACTTTTCTGTGCTTTCCTAACCCAGTGCAGGGAATTTGGGACGTTTTGCTTCGCCTCTTTCTGCTGGAGTTCAGCAAAGGTCATCCACTGGGACCCAAGTGCCAAATGCCCTGCTGGGGGCTGCCTTCGTGGCTTGGTGGGGAAAAAGGCTTTGGAGTGATGCTTTCCCCCTCCATCCCTCCTTCTTGTGGGAGTCCAGGGCTTCCCTCTGGCTGCCCTGGAGGGCCTGGGACCCTGGCAGGGGTCAGGAACCCCCCTGGACAGAGCCCCCAGAGACACTGTCTCTGATCTCTGTCCATGGAAAAGAGTTTTCAATCTTACAGGATGAATTACCAGCTCTGAGTGTTTGATATAAGTAATAATTAAGTGTGACACGGGTGCAAAGTAAAATTTTAGGATTCTAGATTAGGGGTTCAAAGGGGACAAGATGGAGGAAATTGGGTGTGCCTTGTCCTTTTTCTCCTTCTTCATGCCCTCCATGTTTCACTGTGGTGTTGGCATTTTTCTGTTGGTTCAGGCTGGGGACACACTGTTCAATGTAGGTGACAGATATTGGCACGTTATTGTAAATCCAGCACAGGTAGTTTGTGGTATTTAATGTTTGTAACATCCCACTGAGGGCAGAGCCCCACACGCTGCCCTGCAGGACAGAGCTGCGGCAGGACAGCAGAACATGTTAGAGATAAACAGAATAAACAACCTTGAAACCAGCACAGACAGATTATGGCTTCTGCTTTGGCAGCGGGGCTGACAGACAGAGACTTTCTACATCTTGGGATCATCAATACCCCATATTCCGACACTTCTCTCGCGTCCCAAGAGCCGGGTTGGTGTATCCAGGGAAGAGGAGAAGCCTCTTCCTTCAGCAAATCCTCCTCAGGGAAGGTGGGGAGGTGTGGGGTGGTGATGGAGGAGCTGTCCCAGCCCTGGGCTCCCCTGGCCCGGTGGGAGCTGTTGTCATTCCTCTCATGCAGGATTTCTGCCAGTGCCATAAACCACCACGTGGGCAGAGCCTGGGTGAGCTCTAATTGCTTCTATTTGCATAACGAGGCCAGGCTCAGCATCCTGCTGATATTTGAAAGAGGAAAATCAAAATCAGCTCTAGATAAACAACTCCCCCTCCCTCCAATCCCTGCGCACCACCCCCCCGCTCCTAATTTGTGCATTTTTCTCCCTTAATGCAGTTTTTTCAGGTTTTTGGTCTGCTCAGGACCCCTCCCAAGGGGCTGTGGGTGCTGCCCCCTCCCCTGGCCGAGGCAAAGGAGGATTTTGGGGTGTGGGGGTGTCTGAAGGGGAGCTGGAGAGAGGATCGGGGTGGGATTTGGGCTGGAGAAGGGAGACCCGGCTCGGCTGGGAGTGGGTTCTGCCCGGGGCTGGGGGGAGCCCGGCAGATGTCACTGCAGCCCAGTGCCACCACAGGCGGGCCTGGAGCTCCTGGGGACCCGCCCGGGATGGGATGGGATGGGATGGGATTGATGGGATGGGATTGATGGGATGGGACGGGATGGGATTGATGGGATGGGATTGATGGGATGGGATTGATGGGATGGGATTGATGGGATGGGATGGGATGGGATTGATGGGATGGGATTGATGGGATGGGATTGATGGGATGGGATAATGGGATGGGACAGGAGCTTTCCCCACCTGCGATCCCCCAGGGTTGAAGGAAGGGCTCTGTTCGCAGCCCAGGTGCTGCTGGCTGGGGGGATGCTCCTGCTCTGGGGCCATGGGAATCTGGAAGAAGGCTCAGAATGGCCTGGAAAAAAGGAGGTGACATCCCCTGGCTGTGCTGTGACAGCAGCTGTGCCCCAGCTGTGCTGTCCCTCTCTGAGCCATTTTCCCAACACAGCCCAGGGGACCAGAAGCATCCCTGCTCCTCCTGTCCCCTCGAGTCCCCAGGGTCCTTCAGCCAAACCTGGGTGTCCCCTTGGCCCTGGCAGGACCCTGGGCATTGCCAACACTTGCTTGGCACCCGTGGCTTTGGGACCTGGAGGGGCAGCTCTCCTGGCTGGGGTTCCAGGGGGGTTTCAGGCTTCTCTCTGGCAGAGGGGTGGTGCCTTGCTCACTCGAGGCCAGGTAACAGACCTCAAGCACAAATATGTGGTGTCCCTTCCTTGGGGGATGAGGAAAATGGGCTCCTTCCTCCTCCTCTTCCTCCCCAGCGTGAGGGCTGCTGTCCTCTGAACCCTTTGCTGCCCTTTGGAGGAGAAGTGCTGACTCCAGATGTTTTCCTAAATGAGAACCTTCTGCAAACAGTGCCAGATTAGATTAGATTTTAGGAAGAAATTCTTCCCTGTGAGGGTGGGGAGGCCTGGCACAGGGTGTCCAGAGAAGCCGTGCCTGTCCCTGGATCCCTGGAAGTGTCCAAGGCCAGGTTGGACAGGGCTTGGAGCCACCTGGGACAGTGGAAGGTGTCCCTGCCATGGCAGGAGCAAGAACTGGGTGATCTTTGGGGTCCCTTCCTTCTGGGACTCCATGATTTTTGCTTTTTTGGCCCATCCACACTCAGGAACTTGGCTGCCAGCATTCACTGCTCTCTCTGCTCTCCTGCCTGTGCCCAGCATGTGGCTGGGGCTGCTGCCTGAACCCCTGTCCTGGACCATGAAAATTCCCTTTCCCTTGGCCCTCGTGGTGTGTGAAAACCCCTGGTCATGCCAGTGGGTCAAACAGGAGTGGGGCAGCAATATTTCCCCCAGACCCTCCTCATCCTCCAGATCCCACAGAAGCTGCCTGGGGCAGGATGGAGAAAAGGAGAAGGGACCCTCAAAGGTGGAAAGAAATCTCTGCTGCAGCTCTTAAAGGTGGGGGAAGAAAAGGAACCAGAGGAGCAGGAGGTGTCTGGTGCTGCACGTGGGGGCTGTGTGCACACACCTATTTCCCATCAGGCTGATAAAAAGACCAGGAGCACCTGAAGCTGAAGGCAAGGTGAGGAACCTGTGGCTGTCCCAGGGGTGCTGGGGGAAGAACTGTTTGCTCAGGAGCAGCAGGGATGCTCTGCAAGGAGCTGGGGCATTTGGCCTTATGGTCACAACTTGCCCAACAGGAGGGGTTGGGCTCCAGCATCGCAGCCCATGCTGTGAGCAGGGATGCTGGCCAGGCACCCCCACCCCCATGCCCACACTGGTGGCCCAGGGGGATGCAGGAGGGAGGTTTTCCCTCCTTGCTGGGTCTCTGTGGCTGAGCTGGGGGTGCTGGGGCTGGTCCTGGCCGTGGTGGGGCTCCCCAGGGCTCAGTGCAGCGAGCCCAGCCAGACTCCAGCTGGGAATCTGTGCCTTTGTGCTGGCCTGGGCAAGGGCTCCCCATCTCAGCCAAAGGTTCTCTGGTGCTCCTGCCCCAGCAGCAAGAGGATTTTTCCTCCTCCTACGTGGAAAAGCATCTCCCACTGCCATCACACAGCTCCTGCTGCCCTGCCCGGGGGCTCACTCGCACCTCCACATTTCCAAGGGCTTCCTGGGCTCTCTATTCCCCCCTCCATGTTGCGTTTGGGATTTGTATTTCATTCTTATTTATCTCTCTGTAGGTTTGTCCCTGTCATTGCTGCTGTTGCTGGCTTTCCAGCAGGTTTGCTCTGCAGAGAGCTGCAGGTTGGCTATGAAATATGACAAAGCGTTCATTTAAATGCACACCATGATGTCGGTGAGTCCATTAGGGGAATTAATTTGAATGGTTGGCGTTTAATAAACAGCCTCGTCCCTCTTCTCCACACACAGCCCCCACCTCGCCACTGCTGGCAGCTTGGAAGGGTTAAAAACCCCCACATGTGGATAGTGGAGGGAGAGGGGAGCAGGTATCAGGGTCTGGAGTAGGGAGGGGGGAATAATAAAAGAGATCTGGTGCTATAAGAGGAATTGCAGTTTGTTTTGTTCACAGTAAAAAAAAAAAAAGAAAAAAGCACATGTGGAAGGGGTTTGGGCTCACAGGGTGTTTGGTGTGTGGAGAAAACGGGGAGGGGGGGACAGGGGGGACAGGCTCCAGCCAGAGGGTCCCAGCCTGGCCCCGAGCACGCCGGGCTGGGGGAGGAGAGGGGGCTCCAAGGACGTTGCTCCCCATATGGTGTGTATTACAAGCTCCTTTCTAGTTGTAAAGATTAATTTAAAGCCTTTCTCACCTCCCCCCCATCCCTCTTCCATTGACAAATGAACATCTGGGCTGAATGCTGCCCAGATCCTAATCAAAGCATTTTTCCAGGGCCGTTGTCTGCCTTTATGGCTATCTGCTCTTCGGATGCTCTGCAGTTCCAATGCACTTGGCAATTCAGCCTGTAAATACCCCTCTCCAGGATTTATGATTGGGGATAATGTGATTTTTCTCTTTGCCTCTGGATTCGTTTGTTTGGTTTAGTTAAACGACATTTCCTTGTCTCTGCATAAGTGAGAGCACGAAGGGAATTTTCTTCCCTCCCCTCTTTGCAGGGAGTTATTAGCAAAGAGCAAAACTGGCTTTTTTGGGGGGCTGATGGGCACACAGGGGTGGGGTGAGGGGGGCAAATCCAGCCCTGAATCCCTGATGAGCAGCCCTGGTCATCCCAAACCACCCATTTTTCCTACAGGAGGTTGTTTTTGATGTTTTTTGGGAAAGCAGCTTTTCACCAAAGCAAAGCTGAGCCCTTTCCACAATATTCAAGCGTTTCTTCATCAGCCCAGTATGGAAAAGCTGTTTGCTCCCCAAAATGAGGCACGAGAAGCCAAATGAGATGCTTGAAAACCAGGGAGTGCTGTGTCTGGGATCTCATTCCCAGCAGATGTGATTTTTCCCCTGCAAGCTCCAGTTTGGGAGTTAAAAGATTAATATCTAAAAGCTAGCTGAGATACTGAATAATATTTGTCGTGTCCCAGGTGCTGTAGGAAAGGATGGTGCTTGAACCAGGGAAAAAAGGCAGGAAAATCCCTTTAGGGCAAATATAGGGAGCTGGAGGGGTTGTGGCATGGGGTCCCTGTGTTGGTGCCTGTCCCTGAATGAGGAGAGAGCTGGGGAAAACAGAGCTGATGGGTTTGGGGCATATCCTGAGTATATTTATTCCTGCAGAATTCCTGTCTCCAGGACCTGGGCTTCCCCTTCCCTCTGACCCATCCAGGCTGGTTGCTTTTCCCAGTGGATGCTTTAAGGACTGTGTGAGTTCAGTCCATTTAAACCACCATGGAGAGGCTGTGTTTACACAGAAAGTGTGCGGGGTGACAGCACCAGTAATTAAAAATGTTCTCCTAAATGAGATTAAAAAAAAATCACTGGGGTGGAAAGTGCATGGCTGTTCCTCCTCCAGGAAAAGGTGCAACCTGGATTTTGGTGGTGCAGGGTTGGGTACCATCCATCACCAGCACCCTCCCCTCCCCGGGGTGTCACTGGGGAAGCTGAGGAACATCACTGGGCTTGTTTTTCCTAAGAAACTCTGAGTTTCCCACAAATATGACAAGCCAGGATGAAGCAGGCCAATCCCTGCTGATGGATTTGGGATTATGAAGAGCCAGAAGGACTCCTGATGGGTGTGGGGCTGAAATGACCCCAGCACCAACCCTGGATGAGGACAGCCAGAGGTAGGGAAGCACCCTCCTGAGCACCCAGAGGAGACATTGGGGAGAATTTCTCTGCGTTTTTGCTGTTGATTTTTAGAGCACTCGGCAGCTCTTGTCTCTTTTTCATCCCTTTCCTCCCGATTCCCCCCAGATGAGCAGTAAGACAGTGAAGCCTGGTGTCAGTCCATGGCTGAGCCATGGCATCCATGGGGACAGAGCAGCCCCGGGCTGAGGTGAGGGCGATTTATGGAGTTCCACAGCGGCACAATCATCGCTGGGGTCACCTCCGCGGGGCGAGGTGAGGAGGGGGGGGGATGCTGAGGGGCTTTGTGACCGAGGGGGCTTTTTGGGAAGAGGGAGGAGAAGGTGTGGAAGGCGATGGGGAGCCTTCCTCGATGTGCCCAGGGAGGAGGAGGAGGAGGCGATTCCCGGCAGCCGCGTCTCCGCTGCGGCCACGGCCGGGGCCCCGCTGCCGAGCGGGGATTTGCAGCTGAACTCTGCTCAGAAAGTCGCTCCCAGCCTTTTCTCATTTCTTTCTGGATTTAAGGCAGCTTCCAAATTCCTGCGCAGCCAAATCCTGCCTGGGACTGCCAGGAAAGGCGGCCAGCAGCGAGTACGTGCCGTTTCTGCAGCGCTGTTACCCCGCGGGCGATGATGTTGGGATGCAGCTCCGGCCCTCCCGAGATGTGACCCCGTCCCTTCCCGGGACCCCCTGCCCTGGCTGCTGCCCGGGTGTCGCCTCTCCTTCACCACCACCTTTTTATATACCAAAACACCCCAGATTCCCTAAATCTTCACCTCTTCACCCATAACCTCCCAGGCAGCCGGGGAAGGAAAGGCGCTGGCTTGGTGCGCTCCCGATGGGATTTATGATCCCAGGGATTTCCTGCGCTGCTCCTTCCCACCACTGACAAACCACACCCGTTTGTTTCGGGGCGCTCCTTCACGTCTCTTTATTTATTTTTATTTTGCTGTCCCTCAGGAAGGTTTTAGGGGACAGCGGCAGACAAATGAAGCGGCCCCGAGGTCACAGAGAAGGGCAGCGTTTGGTCCCCATGGGGAATGTCAGTGCCTGGGGAAAGGGGGATCGGGAAAACCCTTCATTCCCCCATCCCAGGCCCTCGGCACTTGGGGGTTCCATGGAATCACCCCAGAGCAGGGTTGAGGACGGTGCAGGGACGGGGCTGTGCTCGCAGCATCCTCCCGGCCGCGGCGCGGATGCGGAGCCGGCCCGGGCCAAGCCCACCCGTGGGACGCCTGATCTGGTCTTTCCACTGGTGACTCATGGAAAAACCACTTGTTTTGCAGCGCTGGGCGATCCTGCCTCCCTGCCTCGCTCGTCTGTCTTTTTTTAAAGGATTGTTGGCATGAAAACATCTGGGACCCCGACCTCCCTGCGGAGCTCGCTCACCTGAAGGCGTTTTCCCTGGATGTGTGCAGGGCTGGCTGTGCAAACCACGCTCCATCAGCTGCCTGGGAGGCAGCCTGGTCACGCTCCCGGGCTTGAATTTTTTGGGGATTAGTATTTTTGAGTGGCTCTTATACAACGGCGTTGGAAGCTTGGAGGGTTTCCATCGGCTCCGTGCGTGTTGGTTTCCACACTCCTGCCAAATCTCTCCACAAGGTTTGTGGCACAGCCTGGGGTGATGGGGCTGGGGACTCATCCAGGCTTGTCCTGGGTGTCCCCACTGTCCCCAAGGCCAGGCAGGACAGGGAGAAGTGAGACCTTGCTGTGTGGTTTGGCTTCTTGATGCCTCGTAGGAGGCAAGCAGGATCCACTGGTAGATTTGGGTTAAAACACTCAGAATGGGAATAATGCTGATTCCCATCGAGTTCCCAGCAGCACACTGCTTCCTGAATTCTCACCCTTCACCGCTTTTTCTCCAAGTCCTTCGGAGGGCAGAGATGGAGCACGGCCCTTTCCCAGTGGGACCAGCCCATCCCAGGCTCGGTTGCAGCAGGAGGCTGGGCCAGCTCTGTGTTTAACTGAATTGGCTCTTTTAAAATGTTTTTTCTTGGAAATAGGCATTGAGAGGGATGTTCTGTGGTGCTCACTGCTGTGTGCCACACCTTCACCCTTTCCTCACAGAGCACTGACTGTGCCACTGCTCTCTGGAAAGCACATCAGCAATTTTTTTTTTCTTTTATTTTTGTGGGGGGCACTGGTTTAGTTTGGAATCTGGCATGGAAAATCATTTCCAAACCCCAAATTAGAAACAGAATAATAATACAGAGCCTTGTTTTGGAGGAGGTGGTGTGTGTCATCCCACAGCAATGAGAAACTTGTGCTGGAGAGGAGCAAAGAGCTGTGATTTGTTTTTCTTACACTCCCCAAAGGACTGACGTGGCTCTGGGATGCTGCTTCTGCTCCCTTGTAGCCATGGATGGGGATGGGACAGTTGCTGTGGGCAGGGGGGTGTCCTTACACCATGTGAGGGGCTGTCTCACCCAATTTTGTTGTTCTTACCCTTGGTTTAGTGGAGAAAAGGGGATTGTGCCGTGTGGTTTTCTGCCTTGCCCTTCCCTAAGGAGTTGGGATGGAGAGCTGATGTTCAGGGATGGGACAGGAGCCAGTATTTTGCCATGCTGGGCTGGAGGGAGGGATGAGCAGGCGTTGCTTTCTCCTTGGGATTTTCTACTTTGACTGCTGTGGATTAGAGGGAATTCACTGCGAGTTGCTCTCTCTATGGTATCTCTCCCCCAGAAAACATCATGTCCTTTGAAAACCGAGTTGGACTCAGAAAAAGAAGCCATGCTGAGGCAGTAGCTAGTCCTGCCTGAGATGGGCTCACTGGCCACCACAGCATTGCCAGAAAACCTTTAAAAATAACATATTTTTTAAAATTCTGAGGGGTTTCCTCACGTGTGGGAGCGATAGCTGCTCAGCCAATTTAAATGCTGAATTCCTGTGCAGAGGAGCCTTGACCCCACTGTAGTTCTCTCCCTGCCGATTATAACAAACTCTACACCCCAAAAGTGTGCCCAAGCCAGGGTGCCCCATCTGCCTTTGGGATGTCCTCAGGATAGGTCCTGGAGGGAGAGGTCTGCATGGAGCCAGTCCCTGGGATTTAATAAGACACTTGTTATATGTTAAATATCAAGGGCTGATAGGAAACATGTGTCCTGAGGATTAACAGCCGTGTAAAAGATAGAGGCAGGAGTTAAACCTCCAAACAGCGCGTTTCAAATAACCCTTCACGGCTGCAATCTGCACTGTTGGGGTAACCAGGAGTGGGATGGGGAAGGTAAAATGTATATTGCAGCTCATGGTGCTCCAAAATCCCTGGGATGGGTTTAGGACTGGGCCTTCTCCCAGCAAGGTGATGCCCAGGGATGCCAGATCACACAGGGGTGATGTCAGCTCCTTCTTCCTCCATTTCTTCCTCCCTTTCCACCTCTCCCCCTTCTTCTAATGTTTTTTTCTCTTTTTTTTCCCTTTTTTTTTTTTTTTTTTCCCAGGCCCCAGTTTCTCCCCTGTCGAGGCAAACGCTTTGGCTAATTAGCAAAACGTGTCAAAGAAAATGATTAATGTCCCGGGAGGAGGCTGAGCTGCCTTTGTGCCGGCATTGCCTGACTTCTGCTCTTAAAGGTTTTATTAAAAGATAAGGGAGCTCGTGACGGGTGAGCAAAGCATGTGCTTCCCTGGGTGTTAAAGGGTTGGGGAAGGGGGGATGTGGGGCAGATTGGGGTCACCCTCGGAGGGAGAGGAGAGGGGCTCGTGTTTCCCTGCCTCTGTGCGCCACCGTCACCGCCGTGTCTGGCCTTGGCAGGGGAAAAGACTTTAAAAAAATGGCTGAATGCCTCCTTTATTCTTCCAGGGGCAGGTAACTCAATCTCCTCGGCTGGGCTATGAATGTTGCTGTGTTACGGGGCTCTGCGGGGCCGTGTGCTCCGGGAACGATGCTTTGGGGGGTCCTGGGGAGGGGACGCCCAGGATGGGCATCCCAGGGTGGGGTGGGATGCTGGGGATTGGGCACAGCCAGGCTCCTGCCCAGGACAGCGGTGGCAGCAGGGACAGAGGTGCTTGGGCAGGGTTTGGTGGTCCCTGTGGTCGGAGAGGTGCCCGTGGTCAGGCTCGAGCCCGGTGGGACATCCCTGACGATTTGCTGTGGGCTGAAACTCCCATCCCAGCTCCCTTCTGGGGATGCCAGGCCCAGGCAGGCAGCAGAGGCACAGGAGGGAATCTGAGCCACTGTCCCACTGGACTCCTGCCAGAGCCACCATACACAGCATCCAACTGTCCTCATCTCTCATGGCTCCGGACATGTCTTCAGCAACCCTCAAAATATTCTTCTTGCAACCCAAACCCCTTCAAACCCCCCCACCCCAAAACCAGCAGCCCTTGCAGGAGGGTCTTGCAAAAGGCAAAAAACTTCCCAGCAGCTCCACTGTGGGAGCATAAATCATATAAATCATATAATCATAAATCACGTACATCATGGCACAGCATTCCTGTGCCATGCCAAAATTCCATCTGGGACATCAGCCTGGGAACAGGGAGAGCCTGAGAGTGCTGGGGGACCCACCAGCAGCACTCTGGTTATTTTATCAAAGCAGGAGCGACTCCCAAATCCGGCAGATGCTGATGTCTGCAGCCACAGAAGTCTGAGCCCCTGGATGCACATCAGAGGGGTTTTGGGAGGGGGCACAGCTGGCAGGAGCCTCGGGAGGGGCTGCAGGAGCTGCTCTGTGAGCTTTTCCTCCAGCAAACAGACCTCTGGGCTTAATAAGCTATTTGTAAAACTGGCTGTGGATAAACAAGAGGCCGTGTGTCGGGCTGGAGGCGGCCTCGCAGGGCTCCGCCGCGCGGGGTGGGACCTCAGCACAGAAATATTTTTAAGACAAACAGAGGAAAATGAGTCCTGGAGGAGGCCGGGGCCACTGGCAGCAGCACGCCGCTCCTCTCCAGGATGATTTCGGGGCAGGAACTTGGCTTTCTGCACACTGCAGCTCTTTTTATTTTCTGCCTCTGAAGGGAACCTCGCGTGCTGCAGATTCAGAAATAAACCTGAGGAGCGGTGGGCACGGAAGGCAGCGGTGAGGAGATGTGCAGAGCCCGGGGCTTGCACTGGAGTTTTGGGGTGAGGGCGAGGAGCTGGGATGCACAGCTGCTGCTGCAGATCCCCCTGGTCAGAGCTGCCTGCCCTGCAGAACCCTCGGGCTGAGGTAACAATATTGGCTTGGGGGTGTTCAGCTGGGAGAGGAGAAGGCTCCAGGGAGATTTTAGAGCCCCTTGCAGTGCCTAAAGGGGCTCCAAGAGAGCTGGAGAGGGACTTTGGATAAGGGCATGGAGTAAGAGGACAAAGGGGAATGGCTTCTCACCGACAGAAGGCAGAGTTAGATTTAATATAAGGGAGAAATCCTTCCCTGGGAGGGTGGCAGGCCCTGGCACAGGGTGCCCAGAGAAGCTGTGGCTGCCCCTGGATCCCTGGAAGTGCCCAAGGCCAAGCTAGACAGGGCTTGGAGGAACCTGGGATAGGGGAAAGTGTCCCTGCCCAGGGCAGGAGGTAGAACAAGATGAGCTTTAAGATTCCCTACAACCCAAACCATCCTGGATTCTGTGACTCCAGTGTGAGCAGCAGAGCTGTCCTGCCTGGCTGCTGGTGCCTCCTGCCCTCCATCAGCTCCTCTGTTTCCCAGCAAAGGTAGATACAGCTCTGGTGCCCCAGGGCAGGATTTGGGCACTGCCCTGCCCTCTGCCAGGCTGGGAAATGGGCTGGGCTCTATCCTTCCATCCCCTGGATCCTTCCAGCCTCAGTGTCCCCTTCATCCTCCCCACCCCGTCCATCCCTGGGCTGTGGGGGTTTGGTGCTGGTTTCTCCTCCGTTCTGTGCCTGGTCTTGGATCAACACCCAGCCTGGGGCAAAGCTGGGCTTGGAGCACCGAGGCTGGGACCAGCCGCAGCCTCAGCAGCTGAGATCTCCCAGTGTATCTCTGCCTCTCCTCCCCACCCCCAGCAAATTTAATTAAAAGTCATTCAGATTCCTTTGAAAGAAAATGTCATCCGTCGACACAATTACACTTTAACTAACCAAAGCTGTTACAGTTCCTATATATATTGGAATCAGGCTGTCGTTATTAGTTCTAAGTAAGTAATTTATTCCCATTATTGTGTTCAAATTACAGGATATTACCCCCTGGGGAAATAATCCTGTTATTTGAAATGTAAAAAAGAATTCACATGGACAACAATGGATTCCTAAATGAACCCAACAACAGCCCCCAATCTCAGTGCGGCATCACTTGCCTCAGATAGGGAAAATATTAAGTTTCTTTTAAAAAGGTTCTTGTTTCCCTTATTTCCTCTCTTTCTCTTCTCCTGCCCCAGGTAAGTGAAATTGGGTTCCTCCTCTTCTTCAAGTGCATCAATTTATTGAGGGAATCCTGGATGTGAAGGAATTTGATGGGGAGCATGGAGGAGGATATATATGTGTATATATATATATATATACACACACACACACACACACACATATCTATAGGTGTCTCCCGTTAATTAGATAGTGGGAAGGGAGTCCTGGGAGGGTGGGATGCGAATGCCCAGCACACCCTCATGGGTTTCTGCTGGAGCTGGGAATCTTTGCCTCCCTTTGGCAAAGAGCTGCCGAGGTTCTTTGGAAACACTGTTCCCTAGATCAAGATCTTCACTGAAGGCAAGTAACAGCTCATCTCTGCAACACCCAAACATAAGCAACTAATTTGGACCGCTGAAAGGAAAAAGGGGGAAGAAAAAAAAAAAAGAAAAGAAAGAGAAAGAGGAGGAAGAGGGAGGGGAGGGAAGAAAATCAGATACACTTGTAACCTGATTACAACAGCCAGCTATGTGTGCAAAATCACAATGCAGCTCTATAATTAAATCTCTCTTTCCCCCTCCTGCCGAGCTCTTTCCTCTAACAGGCGCGGTACAAAAACAGTCGTTAGGACATCAAATTCCAGCTCCGACAAGAGGGGACTTTTTTGTCTATAGCTGCTCGGCTCGTCTTTAAGCAAATAATAATTACAAACCCAGCGCTGCTGGCTGACGAGCTTTGTGGAGCAGAAAGGGCTCGTCTTGTCCAACCTCCCCTTCCCCCACGCAGAGGGCTGGGCGATGGGAACAGGGATGGGGTAGCCCTGGGAGCCAGCCCTGGGCATCCTCTCCTTGTGCTGGATGCAGGGGAGAGGAAACTCTGGGGTCTGGCAAGATGCTCAGAGTGATGGAGCCCTGCTGAACGCACCTCGTGTGTTTCAGCACCCCCAGTTTGGCGGCACGGGGCACCCCCAGGTGGGTCTGGATGTTTGGGAGCGCACAAAGCACCTGTGAGGGATGTGAGGAGCCAGCAGCTTCACAGACAGCTCCTGCCACAGCTTTCCCAAGGGTTTCCCCCCTGCCTGGCACTCAGATCTTGGCTGCAGGGTGATTGGGGGATGCCACGGAAGGGATCAGGTCAATGAACCCCAAAAGCAGCAGGGAAGGGACCCCCCAGCACGGTGGATGGGAGAGGGGGAGCAGTGCTGGCCGCCTTTTCCCAGCCCTGCCTGTTGATTTACCCCACCTTGGTCCCAGAGAGCTGTTCCCAGCCCTGTGGCACCCAGCACGGGCTTTTGCTGGCAGCTGCGGGCTGGATTCAGCCCCAGGGACCCAATTCCTCGAGGGCAGGCTCCTGCTTGCTTCCTCGGGGTATTTTTGGGAACACGTCTTGCATCCCATCTTCTTTCCCGCTGCAAGTCGAGGGCAGGTGCATTGAGCTCCTTGCAACTGCTGCAGCGACTCGCAGGACAGCACAGGGATAAAACCTGGCACCAGGAAACCCTCCAAAAGGCCCCAAAGTGCAAGATAACCACCAGTGAGCCAGGATTTATCCACCACAGCTCGTCCGTGCAGGAGGGCACGACCCAGGGCTTTGCAAGGCGCGGCATGCGACACGGAAACTCAGATGCTGCTCCAATAAAGCTGTGCAGGTTTGGTTTTAATGGCAATTAACAGCTGTTAAAAGGTGAAGGATCTATTCTGTTAACACCCAGCGCTTCTCACGCCTTTCATGAAGGGATTTGAAAATACATTGGTGAGTGTTTAATTTTAAGCCACCCTAATGTACCCCGGGGAGGTGGATGGGTTTACCCTGTTTTCAGGCAGGGAAGGTGAAGCAGGCCAGGGCGCAGTGTGGGGATGAGCACTCAGTGCTGGCAGAGGTGGTGAAATCCATGTTTTGCTCTGGAATAGGGATGGGAGCAAGCCGGGGACCAGCCAGCAGCATCAGTGCAGTTTTCACCAGCACTTCCCCAGTCTTTTATTTTGTGGGGAGATTAACTTGGTGCAAAACCAAAGGCACTCACGAGTTTAACCTTCAGCAGGACCCTCGCGCTGGGGGGGAGCACGTAGGAAATCGTCTTTCCCTGAGAGATGCTGCAAATCTGGATTTTCCAGTTCCTGGAGGGCTCTGCTTGTTTAAATTAGAAGCAGATAGGAGAGGTGAATTTTAAGAAGGACAGAGCAAAGGCACACGAGTATGCAGTTAACTTCTAAACTTCTTTCTCTGGCTCTCCCGCTGAGTAAATGCTTTAGGAGCTTCAAACCACAGCTTTTAATATCTCCTTAACATGCCCCGCGATTCCTTCCCCCCTGTCAAAACAGCGAGAGCAGCTGTGAATATTTTCCATTTTAGAATGTTTTGTATGCATACGAAAGTACCTGCAGCTCCAGTGGGCTGGGCTATGGAGAAATGCTGGAGCCAAGGGTATCTATTTTATATCAAACCTCAAAATAGCACATGCTCCTGCCTCCCTCTTGCTCGTGTCCTGCATCCAGGAGGGTATTTTTGATTTAACTGACAGATCAAGGGAAAAATCCCCAATTTACTCTGTTGATGCAGAAGGTCTTGTCATTCTGAGCTCAGCTCACCTGGAGGTGAGGGTTGTTTTAAACTCCCAAATGCAAAACCTGTAACAGTGGGGTGTTGTATGGGGACTGCAGTTTTGGGGAGGTTTCCCGTGCACGTTTCTCCACTAAACCACATTTTTTCCGCTGAAAGGTGTAACTGCCGTTTCCGTGCCTTACAACCAATTTAGCAGCTGATCCCTAGCCAAAAAATGCAGGCAGTAATTACAGCTTTGGGGCTGGTGCTCTTCTCAAAGCTCTCTATGGGTTGTGAATGTCAGCACTCCTCCCTGACTATTTTTTCTTCCGATCTTGGATGAAAAAAGCTTATTATTGGGTAAAAGGGAAAAAAAAAAATAAAGCCAGCCCGATGTATCCAAGATCCAGCCTAGCTGTGAAAAAAGCCCAGTAGAGGGGCTTGGTGAAGGTCGTGGAAAGCAAAGGGCACCCAGCATGGGGCAGGTCTTGGCACTGGGGGATCCCAGCTCGGGATTTGGGGTGGCAGTGAGTGCACAGGTAGCAGAGCAGGAAAACAGGGCAGGATTGTGCATAAATACCCACCCTCCTGCTCCAGGCAAGGAAAAAAAAACCATCAGTCTGTATTTGGACTCAAAACCAGCCTGGTTTGGGACATGTTTGGCTTTACAAACCCCAGAGCTTCGGGATCAGAACTCCTGTGAAGTGAGGGGAGGGCACCAACCTCATCCCTGTGCACCCCCTGGCCCCTCTCCCTTCTTCCCTGCTCTGGCTGGGATGGTGAGGATGCTGCAGCCCCCACTTGCTGCCAGGCACTGGGTGCAGCCCCTGGCGGGGGTCGCTTTTTGGGGTCCCCCCTCCATGCAAAGCCAGGCTGAGCACAAGGGTTGTAATCAGCCAGGATTTATGGAGAAAGCCAAAATCCCGAGCTGTTCTGGTCATTAATCAGAAATTCTTCGCTCAGTTCCCAAACCGTTTCCCTGGGGATCTCCTCATTGGGACCCCCCACTCCACAGCCCCCTCCCCACGGATGGCAGCTCCTTCACAGGGGCTGGGGTGGGGAGAGACCCCAGGCTTTGGAATTATCCAAGCCCCCCCATCGATAATAAATCGCCATGGATGCATCGGAATAAACCCCAGCAGGGCCCCCCTTGCCTTCAAATCTCACCTCTGTCCCTACAGGGTTTAATTTTGGGGGAGGGGGTGGGGGGGGAATGGGACCTTGCTGTCAGACTCGGTTCTGCTTTTAAGATGGGAAGGAAGGAATGAAATCAGGGCAAAGCTTTGCCGACGCGTTGGGATCGTCGCCGTCCGCGTTTTAATGTGATTTATGCCTGGATTTCTAAATCCAGCCACTGACTGCACACTTTAAATATAGCTCCAAAAACACTCTGAAAACGTGTAGTAAGCACGTTAAAAACAGCGGGCGGGAAGGATGCACAGCACCCCCCCAGCTAAGGATGGGGAGCACGGGATGGGGGGGGATTATTGTGAGGGAAAAAAAGGGGATTTTGGGGGTCCCAGCAGATGGGGATGGGGGTCCAGCAGCAGGGCCTGTGCCCAGTCTGTGAGTGAAAATTGAGAGCTGGGTTGGCAATGAAGGGGTGAGTGTCCCCCACCCCCCCCCCACAAACCTTGGCAGCCCCCCAAAACGGAGGAGATGCGTTGGGGGTGGGGGGCATCGCTTTGCTTTGCCTCCCACGCCTCCAGAGAGCCTCCCCCAGCTCCCCCCACTCCCAAATTCCGCCTCCCCGTCCTACCTGCATCCCGGGGGGGGGGGGTTGGGGGGCAGCGCCCGGTGTGGGGCTGGGGGCTGCACCGCTCCGCTGCCTCCTGCCCGCTGCCCTCCGCCTCCGCGGGCACCGGGACGGGGGCGGCCACCGGGAATTTCGAGTTCGCCCGGGGAGGGAAGGGAAGAATGGAAAAAAAGAAGAAAAAAAAGAAAAAAAAAAAAACCGACAAAGAAACAACAAAACAAACCAAACCGAACCAGGAAGAAACGCCAAAACAAAACAAAAAGGAGAATAAATAGCTGGGGGGATGGGGAAGAAGGGGAAAGAAAAGAAAATTAAGGAAAAAGCAGAAGGGGAGAGATGGAGGGAGCGGAGCCGGGCGGGAGGGGGGTGCCTCCTCCCCGGGGGGGGCGGGGGGCGGCCCGGGGGCGGGCGGCACCGTGGGAACCTGCCGGGAGCCCGGGGCACCGGGATCGGGATGGGAATGGGATCGGGATCGGGATGGGAATGGGATGGGGATGGCAATGGGAATGGGAATGGGGGGGCACAACACCGTGCGGCTGCTCGCGGGACAACCCACCCCCCCCACCCTTCCCCGCCCCGATGTTATTTTTAATAAAAATTGGTATTTTTGGAGAAAGCGCTGTTTGCGGCAAAAGGTTTGGCGCGGGGGGAAATTGTGGGAGCGGTCACCAGCCCCCCCATTGCGGGGTTGGGGGGGATCATTGGGGGAAATAATGGGGAGAAAACAAGCGGGGCTGAGATTCCATGTGGAAAACAGCGGGGAAACAGGCGCGCCCGCAGCACCGCGCCGGAGAGGGAAGAATAATCGCAATAATAACAATAACAATAATAATTAGAAAAACGCGTTTATTAGGTCGGAAGTACTTTTTTTTTTTTTCTTCTCTTTTTTTCAGGGTGTTTTGCAGCAGCGATGCCCCAGCCAGGAGCTGCTGTACAAGATGGCTCCCGGCCGGGGAAGGGGAGGAGGAGGAGGAGGAGGAGGAGGAGGAAGGGCTGGAGTTGCAGGGAGGGGGGGCCGATCCCGCCCCGCCCGAGCCTGCTTTTTCTATTTTTTTATTATCATTTCCCTGATTTATGATATGCCAACCCCCCGGCCCGGGGACAGCGGCGGGGAGGTCCGGGCGTGAAGGCATTAAACATTTATAAAATATGCTTTTAAAGCCACATAAAAGCGATCAAACCATTATTTTTTTTTTCCTTCCCCCCTCTCACCCCCAATTCCCCCGTTTTTTTTTTTTTTTTTTTTTTTTTTTTTTTTTTTTTTTCCTGGTTTACTAAAGGAGACTGGGAAAAGAAGCGCCCTCCCCTTGGAGGCAGCGGGGTTTGAGCCCTCGCCTCTGACGCAGTTTTGCTCTTAAATAAAAATAAAAACATAAATATACATTATTGTTATTTATTATTATTATTTTCACGTTAAACCAGGGCCTTGAGCAGCGTGAGAGCTTTTCGACAAACTCGATTTTGCTTGGAATGTTTAAAAGTGAGCAGATTTTTGGGGCTGTTTCTCCTCTTTTCTGGCCGATGTCCCGGTGGGTTCCTCGAAACTCCTGTCCGGGGGCCTGGGGGGGGGGACGCTTTATTATTATTACTTTTAATTTATACCGGATTAAATTAGATTGTATTTTCCTTCCTCTCCTTTTTCGTTATAAAAGCCGATTTTTGTTTGATTAAGTAAAGAAGCGGGGAAAGAAGGGGGGGGGTTGGCAGCCGTGGGGTGTCCCCCACTTCTCCCAGAGGAAGAAGTGGGGAAAGGGAAAAACACATTAAAAATTTGGGGGGGGGGGGGGGGGAAAAAAAATAAATTTAAAATATAAAGGAAAAGAAAAAAAAGAAAGAAAAGTAAAAGTTGGTGTGGCAGTGCAGGGGGGGCCGCCCCGCTCACAATCCAGAGGGGGGGAATGTGTCAATGTCTCCTCCCCCAGCGTCCCTTTTCACCCTATTTTTGAATTTTTTGGGAGGCGGGGCCCGCAGGGAGGGCAGGGGACCCTCCCCCGCTCCCCCCCGGCCCTGAAAGGCCGCTTTGTCCGCGGCGGGGCCGTGGGAGAGGGCCCGGCGGCACTTCCCCCTCAGCCCTGCCCGGGCGGGATGAAGGATTTAACCCCCACAGATAATGGCGGGGTCGCGGGGCGCTCCCCCCTCACGGCCCCGCTGGGAGCGGGGGACCCGCGGCCGCTCCCCGCCCGCCCGCTCCGGGCGGCAGCGCGGGGGCGGCCTGGAAACAGCAGCGGGAGCGCCGGGGGCGGGGCGAGCGGGGGGCCTGGAAACAGCCGCCTGTTTACCCGCCGTTGAGTGACAGCCCGGCCGACCAATGGGAAGGCGCAGAGAAGCCGCGGGCCCGCCCCCGCCGCGCCGAGAACAATGCGTGTTTCATAGCCCCGCCGCCGCCGTTTTTCCCTCCCCCATTCCCCCGTTTTTTCCCTCCCTCCCTCCCGCCCCGCGCTCGCGCTCCCCTTTTTTTTTTTTTAATAATTTTTTCCCTCCCTAATTTTTTTTTTATTCCTCTCTCTCTTTTTTTTTTCTTTTTTTTTTTTTTTTTCCCTCCTCTTCCCTTAAGCGCCGCCGAGCCGCGCGCGCGGGGCCGGCCCGGGAAGGGGGGGGGGGGGTTGTGGAGGCGATGCTGCAGCTCGGCGGGGCCCCGCCGCTCCATGGCGCGGCCGCCACCGCGTCGCTCCCGCGCTGCTGCCCCTGAGGAGCGGAGCGGAGCAGCGGAGGAGCCGGGCGGCGGGCAGGGCGGCGAGCCGGCACCCCCCGCCCCAGCCCCGCACCGCCGCCATGCCCCGCGACCAGGCGGCCTGACCGCGCCGAGGTAGGACCCGCACCCGGATCCGCACCCCGAGCCCGGGGCGGCGGTCCCATCTCCCCCCACCCCCGACCCTTCTCTTCCGCCACATCCCTCCCGCTTTTCCCCCCTTTTTAGCTTTTTTCTCCTTTATTGATTACTTTCCAGCCGGGATCCGGCCGCTCCCGCAGCCCTCGGGGTGAGGCTCGCCCCGAGCAGCCACGCAGGCAGGGTTTAATTAATTTTCAAATCCGCTCGAAAATAATTTTTTTTAAACCCCCAACAAAAGCAAAGCAGTGAGATTTTTTGGGGTAGACTTTTTTAAATTTTGCATTTCTCTCCCCTTTATTTATTTTTTCCCTTTGTTTTAGTTTTTCTTTTTTTTTTTTTTTTTTTTTTTTTTTTTATCATTCCTCCCCCGCGCTGGAGCACCCGCCCGGGAGCCGGGACGGGCGGCGGGGCCGGAGCGGCGGCTCCCGGGGCTCCGGTAGCGCTTGGAGAGGGTTTGAGGGGTAGAACCTCCACTTTATCCACGCAGTGTTTGTTACTTCTCGCTATACAAAATACAGCGGGCGAGTGGAGCCTTTCATCAGGCTGCGAGTACAAATATAGATAGTTTTGTGTATACGGTTGGGTTGGGTTTTTTTTGGTTTTTTTTTAAGCTGTGCCGGGAAACGATAATACGGGTTTTGTTTTCCCGAGTGAAAGTGGCGCTGCAAAAAGGAAAAATAAAAAACCCCAGCCCAAACAACAAGCCCAGTCGGTGTTTTGGAGCCGTGGGAATGAGCTCCAAAAGAAGCGAGAAACTCGGCTGCCGGAGAGATGCCGCCGCCGGAGTCGGCGGCGGGGGAGAAATAAAGAAAAGAGGGGGAAAAAAAATTAAAGAACTAAAAAAAAAAAAAAAAAAAAAAAAAGGGGAGTAAAGAAAGGAAAAGAAGAAATATATGAGTGGGTGTTTTTTTTTTTGTTGTTGTTGTTGTTATTTTGGGATTTGTGTGTTTGTTTTCCGGGGCGAAGTGCGGTGCCGCGTCCCCGCCGGAGCCGGGCTGCGGGCGGGCGCTGCCCTGCCCGGCCGGGGCTGCGGCCGTGACAAATGTAACTCTTGGGGGAAAAAAGTTTAAATTCTTAAAATATAATTTTTAAGTACTTAGTTTTTTTTTGTCCCTGCCTTTTGCCACAAGTTTTCCTTAATTTTTTTTTCTCCCCGCTTTTTCTCCCTTTTTTATCCTCCACTCCGGGAAGATGAGGGTGGGTTTTGGGGGGTATTTTTGGGGGTGGCTGTGAGCAGGGGGGTGCCGGGGCATGTCGGCTTACCGCACCTCCTCCTTCTTTTCTCCTTCGCAGGCAGCGCCGAGACCGCCGCGCCGGGGCTGGCTCCCTGCACCGCGCCATGGGACGCTTGGACGCCTTATTTTTGAAAACCATCTGATTTTTTGGGGGAGGAGAAGGGGGGTGGGGGGCGGGGGGGGGGGGGGGGAAGGCGGTGGTGGCGGGCATCGACAGCGATCCGGGAGACTCCGTGAAGCCGGCGAGTGGATGATGGATGGCCGAGATTTCGGGCCCCCCCGCTCGGTGCACGGCCCCCCTCCGCTGCTCTCCGGGCTGGCCATGGAGAGCCACCGCCTGGGAGCCACCGGCCGCCTGGCCCCCGCCGCCGGGCCCATGGCTGCCGGGCTCCCCGCCGCCCTCCAGCCCGGAAAATTCCTCGCATCGGGCATCAGCCTCCACTCCCACCCGGGTAAGGCTCCGCGGAGCTCCCCGCGCCTTCCCTGCCTTCCCTCCGCGGTCGCGGGCGGCGAACCCGGGATCGGGCTTTAACCCCCCCCCCCCCACCCAAAAATATAAATACCGTCAGCATAATGATATATTTATGTGCTCGCTGCTTTTTCGCGTGTTTTCCCCAAGTGTTTTCTGCTTCGAGTGGTTTTGATTTGGCGAAAAAAAAAAATAGGGGAATGGGGAAGAAGTACGAAAACAAATAGGGTGATGGTGGAGAAATAAGGGAATGGAGTAAAAAATAAGGGAATGGGGGGAAAAAAACGCGCCTATCCGATAGAAGTCCCCCCTTCCAGCGTACGGTTTTGTTGGCACTAAGGAAAATCCCCGCCGCGGCGGCTGCGGAATAAATCCGGGGAATAAATCCGATTTTCGGGAAAGCTGGGAGAGGCGCAGACCGGATTGCGGAGGGACGGGACTGCGCTGCCCGGCGCTGGGATTCCCGGACAGCCAAAAAAACCATCCCTGGGCTGGGAAAAAGGGGGTAAAATGGGGCTCTTTTGGTGATTTCTTGCCCGGTGCAGCCCGAGCCCCGCTGAGATCCCGCTGCCCCCGGGCAGCGCTGCCGGCATCGCTGGTTTTGATGTTGTTTTTTTCTTTTTTTTTTTTTCCCTTTTTTTTTCCTCTCCGAAATTCTTATTTTTTAAACCCGCGAACAAAGCTTCCATGCAGTGTGCAGTGACTGCTCCCTCCTTGAATT